TGGACATTTTGTAACAAAGAGGGGAGTGATTAATTTATCAGTCTAGGAGCGGAGGACCCTGGGACCATCAATGGAGAAGAGCAAAGAGCGGAATCCTACCTAGAGAGGCAGTGAGGCCTGGGATGGAGGCAGAGAAGACAACGTCAAGATATGGTGGGGCTGGGGGCTCGGGATCAGGAGATGGCAAGGGGCTGAGGACTTTGGTGGTGGTGGTGGTACAAGTTTACAGGATACACCCCTTGGTTGGGTGAGGATGCATGGACAGGATGATAACTATGCCAACGAAATGATGGATGATGGAATGAACGTAAAGCTGATGTTCTCCCATGTAGACTATCACACAATTCACAGTAAAACATTAAAAAAAAAATTTTTTTTTACTCATTCATCAAGGCTCCTCCCTCCATAAACACTTTGTACACTTCTTGCTCCTCAGAAATCTAAGGCAATGGGTTTTTACACCTGTCCTGATGTGGTGCTGTAGTATAAGCACTGGACTGCTAACCAGAAGATCGGCAGTCCAAACCCACAAGCTGCTCCTTGGAAACCATATACAGGGGTGCTATGAATTGAAATGATTCGAAGACACTTAACAAACAAAAACAATGGCACATATAGGAGCTATGGTGGCACTGTACAATAAGCACTAGACTGCTAACTACAAGGTTGGCAGTTCGAACCCACCAGCTACTCCACGGGAGAAAGATGAGGTTTTCTGCTCCCATAAAGATTCACAGCCTTGGAAACCCTGTATAGGAGGGTTGCTGTGAGTCAGCATTTATGGCACAAATAGTGACGCAGTACGTTAAATGTTGAACTGCTAACAGGAAAGTCAACTGTTCGAGCCCATCAGCTGCTCTACAGGACAAAGAAGTGGCAGGTCTCTATCCATACAGATGTACCTCCTTGAAAACCCTGTCCTATAGGGTGATTGTGAGTTTGAACTGACTCTATAGCAGTGGGTTTGGAGTTTTGGGCTGATGACACTGATAGTTTTTTCTATCAGTTCTTACCAAGATTGTTTCCTGCCTGGAATATATTGTTGTTGTTGTTATGTGCCATGGAGTCGACTCCGACTCATAGCAACCCTGTACAGGGTTTCTGAGGCTGTAAATCTTTATGGGAGCAGAAAACTTCATTTTTATCTTCGCGGAACAGTTGGTAGTTTGGAACTGCTGACCCTGAGGTTAGCGGCCCGATTCGTAACCACTACGCTACAAGAGAACAGGCATCTAATCAATGTCTGTGGACTTTTACTGAGAGGATCTCTAAATCCAGGTATTCGCCTGTGGGCATAAGAACTCATACATTTTGGTTTCTCTTTAGATGCATCGCTTTTAACATCCGTGCTCACTGTGAGTACCCTAAGGTTATTAAGTAAGTCTCATGGCTCTATCACACACCTACTTTCTCATGGGTGCATTCATTTTCGTGATCTTTACAAGAGCTCAAATGAACCTGTCTGGCTATGTCCAGAGTCAGATGAGAGGCATCTATTTTCAGGACAATTTCAACATGAAATGCAACATGAGCCTTCATATCGCATGGGTGGCGTGAAATCATCTCACCCAGTCGGGACCCAGTACAGACTCTGCACTGAGAGCTTAACTCTTCCTCTCTGCATGCATCTGCAGTGACACATGTTGAGGCTATTTCTGTGAGTTTCACTTGCTTCCTAAGTATCACGGACTAAAAAACTGATTACAGCACGGGTCAACTCAACCCTGAAGCCTCATGCAATCTTCTCACCCTGTGCTGTACTAAACTGTATTGTGTACATCTCTATCATGAAATCTTAAAAGGTTCTGGAGAAATAATTCTTCAGGTGCACCCTATAATTTGTATCCTTTTCTGAATATACAAGATGTTTGAAAAATATGATTTTTGTTTTTAAACTTGGGTCAGTGCTTTAGTTAAGTGCCACTGAATTGGTCCCAACTTATAGCAACCCTGTATAGGGTTTCTGATGATAGGCTGGTGGATTTGAACTTCACGTTGATCTTGCTGTTAGCAATCCAGTGCTTATCCTATGGTACCAACTCCATGACTTGGGTAGCAACAAGCTCTTAATCTGTGGCCTTTGGTCCAGGCTAACTCCCTTAAATGTGTTTGCAAAAATTGTTAGTCTGGTCTAGAGGCTGGGAACTTGACTCATTTAGAGAACAGTGGTCTCCAATGGCAGGCCGTCAGAACCAGTGCTGCTCCAAGTGTGACTACGGATCTGGACCTATCTGCAAACTACAGCAGTTTGTAACAACACGAGTACAGAAATACAGTACTGTCTTAGGTGTTTAGAAACTTAACCGCAACCTGACATTGTCTTGACATTCAAAATGACCATTCTTGAAATAATCGTTCCTGTGTTTTACAAAAGTATCTGTTTATGACAGACTGGTCCTTCACTACAAAGAGTTTGAGAACCACTGGCTTACAAAATCCATGAGATTTTCATTTCCCAAGTCCAAAATGGTTCCAGGATTCTTTCTAGGTGTTAAAAGGGTCACACAGAGACTATTGTCTCACTAGGGAGGAAAACCACTGTATAGGGCTCACTGCTTTAGAACCATGGTTTTTATTTTTCTGCAGTGGTTTTTCCCTTGGGGATTAAGGAGCCTATTAAAAGAAGTTGATAAAATCTTAAAAGTTGCTCATCAGAAAAATGTGCATGCTCAGTAAATTCAGTAATTTCAGGAGCCTCATTGATGCCTGTGGCAAACCTCTGGTCTGAACATTATGGGAAGCTGGGCAGAGAGAGTGAATAAGTTAAGTAACAAGTTCCTGTGCTGTGACTGAACCAGGGCCTTTGAAGAATAATACAAAACTTAGTAGGTAAGCGCTGTCTGTAGTTCTGAGCACTTGTTCACCATACTGCCCACCCAACCAACCTCCTTTCCCCTAGCTTATTAATCCCATGAAACTCCACACAAGCCTTTATTAGGACAACCAGTTTCAAAGGAGACTTTTACACCTAATACAACCTACTATAAAACACTTCCTTCTGAAACCAGTGAGTAGGCAAGAAAGGGGACCAGGGTAAGATGGTGACCAATTCGAAACCTTGACCATGGATCTTCAGAAGTGCATGGGGTATTTCTAAGGATACAGAATTTCTAAATTTAAAAATCAATATTCTATGCTTCTGGTGGTAGCTAATTATGACAAGCGCCAAGTTAAGACTCTGAACTTTGTATAAGTGAAGGCAAAATGAAAACATAGATTCCTTAACTTTTTTTTTTTTTAAAGATAATTGAAAGCTGATACTTTACATAAGACCAATGATAGCAATTAAGCCCTAGACCAGAAACGTCACCAAGGAACTTATTGTTGTGAATGTAGCCGAGGTGATTACAACTCATGACAACCCCTGGAGACACAGTAGAACTACTCCATTCCTTACCTTTTTTATTTAAGAAAGGTAAGTTATTTTAAGCCTCAGTGCTTGTCTTTCTTTTAAAAATCCTTATGTAAATGATTATGAGGAAAAGAAGTAATTCTCCAAGTTGCTCTTGTAGTCGCCCGCCCCCCAGCTGACTTCTCGGAAACCCTATATGGCATTGCTCTGAGTCAGAGCTGACTTGAGGGCACGTTACAACAGCAATCTTTATAGAAGCACGTCACTGAGGCGTTCTCCGATGGAGCCCAGGAAGGGGTTTGAACTGAGCACTTAAACCAGTTGTGCCTCCAGGGTTCCATTTATTAGGGCTGGTGTGTGTGTGTGTGTGTGTGTGTGTGTGTGAAAATGGCTTACTTTTCTTCATTTCTTCATTTCCTTTACATATTGTTTGTTTCAGCTGTTCGATCCTCATCTTGCAGGACATTATTTTCCATCTCTGGAACAAAGTATGCAATCAATATCACAATAATTGTAACTTATGATTAGTATGACCAGCTTACTTTATGCCCCTACTTATTTATTAGTTCTGCATTAGGAAACATACAGCTTTGTGGTTCAAGCTCACCAGCCGCTCCTCAGAAACCCTACATAGGGTCACTACGAGTTGGAACCGACGACTTGACGGCACTTAACAACAATAGTGGATTAAGAAGAAAGCTTGCTAGGAAATGAAGAGAAAAGTCCCAGTTGCTTCGCCTGTGTCAGTGAGCACAGACGAAAGTGATGTACAACACCCTCTAGACTTGTTCAGTCCTACATGTAGGTAGGTACTGGCTGGGTGTGGGTATTTAAATTTCAGTTACAATTTCTAAAATTAAAAATTCAATTCCTTACATTAGCCACGTCAAGGGTTCAGCAGTCCTATGTGGCTAGTGGACACCACAGTGGCCAGCTCAAGTACAGAACACCATCTCAGAAAGTTCTACTGAAGGTCTGCTCTAAATCATCAATGCTGGTTGCTCTAAAGACTCTACCAACACTTTGTCAGTTCCCTTATAAAGGAGGCTTTGCTGTGACTGTGCCCACTGTTCTAGCCGCTGGGTCAGTGCAGCTTGTTGAGGGTCTTCCTCGGTTTCACTGGCCCTCTCTACTCTACCAAGCAGGATGTCCTTCTCTAGGGGCTGATCCCTTCCAGAGGCTGTCTCACTGCCCTCACTAGGAAGGGCCATTAGGGTTGTACTTCTGTGTTCGTTCTTCTCAGCAGTCCACAGTATATTCCGTATTCTTCCCAATCCCGTAATTTAAATGCACCAGCTCTTCTCTGGCTTTCCTTATTCACTGTCCAGCTTTCACAGGCACGAGGCAACTGAATGTACCAAGGCTTGAGTCAGGCACACCTTCTTCAAAGTGACATCTTTGCTTTTCAACACTTCAGCAGCAGATTGGTCCAATGCTACATCGTTTGATTTCTTGACTACGGCTTCCACGGACAATAACTGTGGCTCCTAGTAAAATGAAATCCTGGGTAACTTCAATATTTCCTTAGTTTATCAGGCTGTTGCTTACTGGTTCTGTTACCATGATTTATGTTTATGTTTGGGTGGCCTCCATCCGAAGGTGATCTTCATCAGCAAGTGCTTGAACACCTCTTCACTTTCGGCAAGCAAAGTCACATCAGTTGCAAATCACAAGTTATTCATGAATCTTTGTCCAATTCTGATGCCACCTTCTTATAGTTTAAGCTCTTACATGATTTGCTCAACACACAGAATAAATAAGAATGGTAAAAGGATACAACCATGACACACACCTTTTTGAAAAATTTTAAACCACACGGCATCTCCTTCTTCTACTCAAACAACTGCCTTTTGGTTCTCTAAGAGCACAAGGAAATGCCCTGGAATCCCCATTCTTTGAAATGTTACCCATAGCTTGTTGTCGTCCACACAGTCAAATGCCTTTGCGCAGTTAATAAAACAAAGGGAAACATCTTTCAGATCTGTTTTCAGCCAAGAGCTATCAGACAGCAGCAGCAAAGACAGTCCTCAGTTCACATCCTCTTATGTCCGGCTTGAATTTCTGGCAGTTCCCTTTTAATGTGTTGAGGCAGCTGTTTGTTTTTTTATCTGCAGCAAAATTTTACTTGTGTGTCATATTAATGATATCGTTCAATGATTTCCACATCCTGTTGGGTCACCTTTCTTTGGAACGGGCATTCCAGTCATCTGTCAGGTAGCTGTCGTCCAAAGTTTCTGCCATAGACGAGTGAGCAAGCGCCTGCAGTGCTGGCTGCATCGGTTTGTTGAAACATTTTAGTGGTATTGTGTTATTTTCTGGAGTCTTGTTTTTTGCCATTGCCTTCAGTGCACTTTGGACTTCTTCAGTGCCATTGGTTCTTGATCATATGCTACCTCTTAAAATGGTTGAACATCAACACTTCTTGCTGACACACTGACTCTGTGTATTCCCTCCATCTTCTTTCATTGTAAAATACTGACTCCATCATCAGTACCCTGGCATACCATAACCTCGTGGAGGGCTTTACGTATTCTTTTTACGAATGCAGACTTTTCAGAAGCAGGTCACCAAGTCTACGATGCCTGTCTTAGTCTGGAAGCTCCACTGAACCCAGTCCACCATGAGTGATGACACTGTTATCTGAAATACTGCTAGCAGAGTTTCCAGCATCACAGCAACATGCAAGTCACCACAGGACAAGAAAATGATGGACACATGGTAGAGCTGAAATATGTAAGTTTTTGTTAATGTCATCAAGTCGGTTCTGACTGATAGCGACCTTGTATGCCATTTCCAAGGAGCGGCTGTTGAGTTTGAACCATCAACCTTTCGGTTCAAAGTAACCTTGTGGTCTAGTGCATTATCCCACAGTGCTACACCAGGACTCCTGAGTACATAAAAGTAATATTAACTATATTGCCAAACTTACCAACTGATCTGTTATCCATTTTCCTTCCATGGCTTTTAATACTCTGTAAGAGAAATCATCTCTTAAAAGTCATTTAAAAAAAAAAAAAAAAGTTATTTTGTAATGAGTTCTTAGAAATTACTAAAAATACCAAGATGGAACTTCGCATTTAGAATGCTTTCCCACCTCCCTGTTCTCTGCAGTTTAAAAAAAATTGTTTACCTCCTTCCTTTTGCACTTCTAACACTATCCAAAGCCTCAAACAGTCAAGACAGATATGTCCATTGTCCTCATTCATATAATCCCATCGTAATTAACACTGATAATAATGATAAGACAACTCATGATCCAAAATTCTATGGTAAGCTGCCAAATAAATGGCATAAATCAGCAGATCTCTCTACTGCAGGATGCCTGGAACATTTCATACGCTAAGAATGTAAGAACGTGTTTACCTGACCATTACAGACTTCAATGAGAAGCTCAAGGCACACTTTGGGGACCTCTGGAATGCTCATTAGCACATTCACCCTCCACAGATGACCTTATGATCAGCTGTCCAACGGTTAACCCACTGCACCCCAGGGATCCTTGAACACACATAGCTATGGCTGCTGCTGCCGTGAAGGGCTGCTGAGTCCCTTCCAACTCATAGCAACCCTGTATAGGGTTTCCAAGGAGTGGCTGGTGGATCTGAACCACCAGCTTTGACATTAGCAGCTTACCAGGACTCCAATCCCATAGATATCTTTCTTAATACAGCACAATGCTCAAGGCAAACATTCTTTACCAGTTAAGTTAAACTATCGTTTGAAGATGGCACTCTGGAAAAGGCTGATGATGCAGGAGAAAGACAACAGGTGAAGGAAGGGAGCCCCCACTGCCAGTGTAAGTCTAACCACACTTACTCTCCTGCATCCTTCTGCCACACATCACTTACCATTCATCCAAGAATTCCTTGAATGCTGACTGTGGTCCAAGCACCAGGTATGATCCCAGTATTTCCTAGAAATGCGACCATCTCTCCTGTTCTACTTCTCCCAAATACACAGCTCTTCCCAGGTCATTTAAGGGAGATTTAACTCTAAACTCAATAAATGAGCAATCCATTTGTCTGCATGCCATAGCACTTGAATCCACACAAAGAGTGAACAGATAACCTCCACAAATACAAAAGCAAAACAAAAAAACTCACTCTTTTTGAAATTCTTCTTGCTTGCTCTTAAGTCGGCTTAACCTTTCCTTCTTGTCAATAAACCTTGGGGGGGGGGGGGGGGAAAAAAATTTCAATATTTATTTAAATGTTTTTGTGTGTTTTTAGTTCAATGAGATTGTGCAAATTCCAGAAAGCAGATCATTTCTACAGATTCAACTGAAAAGCCACTGTCACAAAAGTAAATACGCATCTACCCAATGGGATAACCAACACAGCTGTTTATCATTTTAAGACAAAGTTCACATTCAACTTTAAAATGCTTTCATGAGCTTTAAAAACAAGTCTACAGATATTAAACTCTATATTTAATCATTTTCTAGAATGGGCACACCAGAAAACTAAAGTGAATTCTAATCTAAGTAAACTCAAGCTTCCATTATAAAAACAAAACATAGTAATTATTAAATTTAATTCTGCACTCATCTACAAATTGGTCCCTTATAATTTCCTAAACATTTTTTTCTCTAATTTTATTTCTAGTTATTATAGACAAACATAGTCCTGGTGTGGCATTCTTATATAAGCACTGGACTGCTCACCACTAAGTGGACAGTTCAAACCCACCATCTGCTTCCCGGAAACCCTACATAGGGTCTTATGAGTGGGAACAGACTTGACAGCATTAAACAAGAGCAGTCTAACAAGTTTAGTGAAAGTGATCAAAAGGAAGGTGTATAGCACTGCAATGTTAATTTTATACTTGTCAGTTTCCTTCCTTTAAATCTGCTGAGGGTGTGTCTGTTCTGACTCATGGCAGCCCCACTGGTAGAGTAAAGCTGAGCTCCATAGAGTTTTCTGGCTATAATCTTTATGGAAGTAGATTTCTAAGACTTTCTCTTCTAAGGCACTGCTGCGTAGGTTTAAACCACCAACCTTGCAGTTAGCAGTTGAGCACAAACTCTTTGTGCTACACCCAGGGATCTCTGTAACCTTACCATTTTCTTCCTGCCACCTGATTTTGGATTTTGTGTCCAACTCATAGGGATCCTGTATGTGGTTTTCGAAGGCTTTAAATCTTGGGAGCTGAAAGCTTCATTGTTCTCCTGCGGAGCAGCTGGCAGGTTCAAACTGCATAACTTGTGGTTGTTCAGTGCTTATTGTACAGAGTCACTGAGCGCCCATAAAACCCAAAAACTGGTTTCTGTCAAATTGATTTGAACTCATGGGGACCCTATGACAGAATGGAATTGCCCTATGGAGTTTCCAAGGCTGCAAATTTTTACAGATGCCAACTGCCACCTCATTCTTCTGTGGAGGTGGTGGTGGGTTCAAA